GCAACCCTCAGTGTTGCCCCCGTACCGGACCAGGGACCGGCAACGGGATTGCAAACCTCGGTGTTGCTCCCACGCCTCGCTCAGCCAGTGAGCGGGAGCCGGTCCGTATGTGGGATCCGAACCCTCGGGCGGCAGCGCTGCCGCGCCTCCTAAGCGGCGCACTATCCAGTGCGCCACTGGGCCGGCCCTCCAAAATTGTTTTTATGATTCATTATTGATGTGGCTGTTCCTAATTAAATGAGGCCCTTGTCAGAGCCATTATCTGATATGCGGAACTTCACCAGACTATTCTAATAACTTTCCTATTACATTGATAGTCATTAGGTAACTTATAGATTCAGTAAGTAGCAGTTGCCATTAGTATCAGTGATACTATTTATGGTGCTAAATGCTCGCTTTCAGCTTCTTAGGAACCAAGAACAAATATATTTTTCAAGTGTTTAGCTCTTATTATACTGTCTAGTATTTTTTATACATTCAGTAACTCTATTATTGAACAAGTCACGAAAATAATGTATTGGAATGTAGTATTGAACTAGATTGGACCTAATCCTTCAGGTCAAATGAGAGGTGGCATAGTGATGGGATTAAAAGCATGCACTCTTGCTTAGCAGCCTGGGTTGAAATCCTGCCTCTGCCACTTTGGTTTTAATTTGCTGTTTCAATTTCATCATTGCAAAACTTTCTCATCTGCAGCCAGTGCAGGGGGACTGGGTTCTTGTCATCTTTTGTGGCTTAGTAAACACCCCTATTTTGGTGGCTTAAAGCAACCACCATTCTGTTGTCTCTCAAGCTTTTCTTGGTCAGGAATTTGGGAAGGGCTTGGCCAGATGATTCTTCTGCTCCATGTGGTATAGACCAGGATTTCTCGGTGAGGTGCAGCTAGTAGCTGGGTTGGTCTGGAGGGTTCAAGGCAACCTCTCTTGCACACCTGTTGTCTTGATGGAATGATTGGAAGGCTAGACTCACTTGGGCCCCTCCACCTCTCCATGTGGACTCTTTAGCAGGGTAGTTGAATTTCTTACATGGAGGCCCAGGGCTCCAAGAGCCAAAGGCAGAACCAGCCAATCCTCTTAATCTGCCACAGGGGGTGTTTTGGGGCAACAAGTCTGCCATTCTTTACTCCCCATACCAGCCTCAGCATACTGGTGAATTTCAGCCTCAGGACGTCCGTTTTATAGATGAGGGAACTGAGGCTTAGAGAGGTTGCGTGATCTCCCCAACCCATGGAGATATATTGCACATTTGTATGTTGGGCCTTCTGAGAGGTTCCACATAAAAGAAACTTGTTCAGTATTTTCCAAGCTTATGGGACTATGGAACACTTTCTTCAGAGTGTCCCTATTAATAACCTGTGACACATGCTTTGGGGAACTGCCACGTTAAACCTTGGAATCATGCAGCTTGCTCCCCGTGTTTTGATCCTTTGCTCTTAATCCACAGTAATGTGGTTTCTGATGAAGGCCTACCTCAGAGGAAAGGTTCTCCTAGGGGTGGTACTGTGAGCGTTTTGATTGGGGTGACAGTAGCATTTCTTATTGTAAAATAGTTCATGATATTCTAGGAGGAGTTTTGTATTGTTTGTGTTGTTTATTTTATTTTGTTTTGTTGGTTGGTTGATTTAGGCCACAAGGAAATGTGTGAAATGGTTCCATAAGACATTAAATCATAGTTTAAAATTTAGAAATGCCAGAACTGAAAGTTATTACCCTAAACAGGCTTCATACTCTGTTCTCTCAAATAATTCATTCTCTGAGGGGTCTAGATAGCTAAGATTTAAATTCCCTAGGTCTAAATAAAACTCAAAAGCTACCCGCAGAGTAGCACATTTAAAGAGCATGGCCCCAAACTATACTTTCTAAGTACATTCTCAGGTTCTCTCAAAGAGTTACCAGTGGTTTACAGTGGTGGCTTCTGCCGGCTCAGATGACAAAGGACACCCAGAAGGACGGTTAGTATTTTCACTCATGCCAGTGTGAGTGAAGTGAGAAGCCCTGGAAGTCATTGAAATGTGTTTCTCTGTTACCCTGGAATTCCTTCTATGCTGATAAGGTTTGGTTGTATTCTGGAAGCAACTTTGTTGCCTGAAGTAGTTAGGACAAGAAAGCATTTTCACCAAAAGAGAAGAAATAGCATAGGGAAAAGCCAGGATAGAAAGCCATCACTTTTGACCAGTCAGCCTCTGCTCCTTGTAAACTTTGTTGGTGTCATGGAGGCTTACCAGTCGTCTGTCGGGGAGGAGTGTGTGTAGACTCTGTTTCACAAATGCCATAATTTCTTTCTCGTCGAACATGTCTGTGTAGAAAGTGAACCTGCCTCTGGTTTTTCAGGTCTGTAAATAACCAATATTGCAAAAAGGTGATTGGAGGAATGGTATGGAACCCAGCCATGCAGAGATCTTTATCCGTGGAGCATTTAGAAACCAAGAGTCTCCCTTCTCGGTCACCTCCTATTACTCCCAACTGGTATGTCCTCCTCTTTTTGTTCTACTCACCAGGGAACGTGTTATCTCCTTTAAAAATAAAAAGTCAACTTATAAATTCCTAGGTATAGATGGCCTGCAATCAGAGCTTACGTTTGCATTTTTGCCTATTGCAGAAGTCACTGTTTTTGTGAGATACACAAGTCTAGCTAAACGTTTTCCACAGTGTACGGTGCTGAGATGCTCTTTCTTGAAAATGTATTTGGAAATTGTAGTCTGCTGAAATGCCCCTTTTGGAATCACAGCACATATTAGCATATTAAACAGTCTAAGAAGTCCTGTGATAAAGAAGCATGTTTAACTGTATTTAATCTTATGTTTCCCATTAACATCCCACAAAATAAACTTTGGAAAAATCTAATGGAGGCATGTGATGTAAATGATGTAAGGAAGTGTAATCTTCAGCAACAGGATCAGGTGCCCCTAGAGAAGTAGCCCAGCCGCTTTTAAGAGGATGGACTCAGCTTAAAAGGAAGGAGGAGTTTGCCAAAGTGGGAAGGGCACTGGGTTTGTAGATGGAAGACCTGAACTCAGATTTTTGCCCTTCTGTTAATTTACACGTTTCTTTACCTCTCTGGTCTCAGTTTCCTCATATGTAAAAGGGTTGTAAAAATTAACACAAATGAAATAATAATGTACAAGTGCTTTGTAAGCTTATTTTTAAAACAGGTCAGGTGGAATTATTATTATCATTATTTTATTATAATGGTCCCCAAAGACATCAGGCTGTTTTTGTGAATGCCTCCAAAAAGGCCAGGTGTCAGCAGAAGGGGACACCAAGCAGGAAAACATTGTTCCCAGATCCACGCTGGAATAAGAGTGTGGCTTTAAAGACAGGGTAGACCTGTACCTTTCTGAGCCAGGATCTAATAGGACCAAGGGAAGCTGGGAGATGGCAGAGAGAGGAGAGGCTGTACAGGGCCTGCTTGGTAAAGACCTCCACTGGAGGCCACGTGCTTTTGGCAGGGACAGTGTTGGTATTTAGTGTTAGAAGTCATGATATGAGTGAATAGATTTGCTTCTTGGTTTCCAAAGTTTAGACACCTCATCCTAAAGAGGTAAATTTATGCTATAAAGTAGCAGCTTAATTTATCTGAAAATCTTTTCAGCAGTAATGCCAGGGACCCAGAGAGAGGCCCAGGACAGGATCCAGGAGAACAGCAGGGTTAGCTGTTGCCACACTCGTGGCCTGGAGCTCTTGCTGCTATTTATAGGTCCTCTCCAGAAGAGTCACAAGAGCCTTTTTACTTCTGCTTTGGACACTGCATTATTGATTATCCAGGCCAAGGGGAATTGCAAAGCATAGAGGTCCTGACAGTCCCAAGGACTAACAAAGAAAGAGAAGATGGAAGAACTGTGAGGGAAAATAGAAGTTAGAAAGCACAGCAGCCTGGGTCACCCACTGCAGGAGCTGACCCAAAGGTGCTGCACAGGGTGTGCTGAGAACATCGCCTTGTGGGATTCATTCTCAGGAGCAGGTAAGTATGCTGAGGCCTAGAGAGGTGGTGTGACTTGCCTGAGGTCACAGGGCAACTGTGCTATTGGAGAACAGGGTGGGGCTCGTATGCCCATCGGATGCCACACCTTTAATGAGGGATATATTTTAAAAAGCAAACATTTCCTCTTGGATCAAGTGAAATTCACATGAAGGGTTGTCATTGAAATAAGATTTGAGTTTTGCTAAGAAATGTACTTTGGCTTCTAAACCTTTTATGTACATTGTTAAAAATTAATCAGAAAAATTGTCTGATCAGCAGTCAATATAGCTTGAGTCCTCCTGGAAGAATAACTCACTCTAAATCAACACTCACTGAGTTCTTAAAGGGCGTAAACCAATCTAATCCTGCCTATTTAGAAAGCCGAGACTACAGTTCTGGGGGCCACACCAGTTGGCTGAGAGTGTTGGGGACCCGTGTCTCCCTTGGTGAATTCTGCTAGTCCAGTAATGAGTTAACCAGCTCTGAGTTTCTAACAGCATCAGCAAGGCATCCCTTTGAAAGGTCAGGACAGAAAGTTAGATCACTGATGTCTGATAAAATTAAATGAAATTTGCTTTCAACACCTTACCCTCAACCTTTCCCCCACCCAGGCGAAGTCCTCGGCTCCGGCACGAAATCCGAAAGCCACGCCACTCTTCCGCAGACAACCTTGCAAATGAAATGACGTACATTACGGAAACCGAAGATGTGTTTTACACTTACAAGGGCTCCCTGTCCCCAAAAGATAGCGATTCTGAAGTTTCTCAGAACCGAAGCCCGTACCGAGAGTAAGAAACCTGTGTTTTTTTCTTTTTCTCTGTTTCTGCTTTTTGGCTGTTGAGGAATTTGCCCAGGCCCAGGTTTCTACTGGAGAGGAGTGAAGAGTTGGTCCCTGCAGCCAGCTCCCCAGGGTGCTCTCTGCCAGGACAAGGACATAAATCAGACTCCACCTTTCCACACAGGCAGGCAACCTGTGTGTGCCTGGCAACTAGAGTTTTTGTCGAAGACAAAGTCTTTCTACTCTCCAAGTATTTGTTAGCCTCCTGAATAGTCTTCTCTCCAACTCATGAGCAAAGTACAGTTTAAATCATTCGCTATTCCATAGGTATAAACTCTAGGGCCAAGTTATCTACAGGACTCTAGGGCCAGAATGTTATCTACCATTTCTCTAGATTATCAGAGTTTTACTGTGGTGTGATGTCAGATCACTGGGAGTGTGCTTACTTCTAGAAGCCTTCCCAGAACAGTGTGCCCTTGGGGTTTTTGTTTTCTTTTTGTTTAAAATTAATAGTTAGTATAAAGAAAAAAGATTGTTAGAACATCCTTGATTTTCTTTGTCAAGTTTTTGTCAAAGACATTTTCACCAAATCCTTTTATGCCCCACGCCCCTACACCTCCCCATCCTCCCCTTTTTTGGGAGCTGGCCAGTAGAGGATCTGAACTCTTGACCTTGGTGTTATCATCAGCACCATGCTCTAACCAAGTGAGCTAACCAGCCGACCCTCCCCTTTTTTTAATGTGACAAATTTTTCTCATAGCTTAAGGCCAGGAAAAAATCTCTCTCTCCTGAAAGACTGGCTTGAGTCGTTTTGTTATTCAGTAAGGTGTATCTAATCCATTAGTTCCCTTTTTGCCTTTGTTACCAGGGAGCTCAGAGCCGCATGTTACACCCAATTGCATTCATTTCCCTTAGCCCAGGTTTCTGATATAGTCCCTTCTCTTCCTTCCTTGCCTTTATTATAGGAGTCTAATTTTTTTTCTTGTTGTAATGAATTCACAGTTCTACTCTATCTATACATTTTAGGGTAGGCTACCTCAAATAATTTTTTGAAGTAGACAAGACATAGATCATAAATTAAGCTAAAGTATGATAGGAAAGGATAAAATGTTAGGAAATCAACTATAGTCAGTAGGTATCCATTCTGTTAAGCTTTATACCATGCCCAAAATATAGAAGCATAATGCTTCCTCTAACATCAGAGGATTAGCAAACAGGCATTTCAGTTAATCTGTAAGTTGGTGGGTTTTGGGTTTTTTTTTTTTTTTTTTACCTCTGTAGCTACCAGGTTACAGCATTAAATGCATCATGATCTGTCTCTAGGCATTCACAGGTGAATTGCAAATCTCCGTCTCGCTTATGTGTGAGGTTGCTACTCTCCTCTGCTCCTGCCTACAGCAAGCACGGTTTCCAGCTTATCTGTGTTCTTAACACCTCTGGTTCAATAATCCCTGTGGTCATTATTTTCCTGTGACCTGAGCTTGGATGGTGCTTTTAGTGAAACGATCACTTTCTCTTGCTCTAACTTGCAGCCTGCTGCTCCTTGGTTGAGGCTACAGTGGACAGGTGTGAGTTCCTTTGTGTGACCCTGTGGCTTTGCAAACTCTAAGCAAATCTAGAAATACAAGGTAGGAGTGCAGGCGTGCGTGACTAGAGCCGGATGGAGTTTGCAGTGGGGCTCTGTTGCTTTGGCTAAAGGAGAAGAGGGTTTAGGGAACTGTCCAAGGATCCTGGGAAGCCACCTCCCACCCCCACCCCTTGAGTCAGAGCTTCCTACTGTGGTTTGCAAACTCATTGCAAAACTGTAGAGCATCTAGACCTTCACTGTCCAGTACAGGAAGCACCAGCGACAGGTGGCTATTCAGATTTAAATCAAATAAAATGTAAGCATTCAGTTCCCCAGTCACACAAACTTCATTTCAAGTGCCCGACAGCCACACATGGATAGTAGCTGCCATATTGGACCACAAGTACAGTCCATTTCCATCATTCCAGAAAGTATTGACAACACTTGTCTAGACTAAAGCATTTATCATTTATTTAAAGTGGGGTGAACCCCCAGAATGTCTGCAAGTGAAAAGGGCATTTCTGAAATGGCAGTCAGTGTGAGCAGGTCTAGGATCAGCATCTGGCCCGTGGTCTGGGCACTCACTGCCACTGACTGGTTGCTCTTCTGTGGGAGCAGGCTGGGTAGATGGCCTCTGAGAGCCCTACAGGCCAGCACCCTCTGATGTCTTGTCACATGGTCAGTGCCAGTGGGGGAAAGAAGCATTCTGTCCAGTGACATGTGGACACTTTAAAGGGCTACATTCCTTCCCGAGTCTAGCAGCACACTTTATACATCCTCTGCCGATCATTGAGGGGGGCGTCAAAGCGAATTAGACAAGCCTTTGCCTTCAGGAGCCCCCAGGCCAGCTAGGCAAGTAGCACATTATCAGCTGTTGTCACCACACTATGGGGCTCTGTCACTTTGATGAAAGGAGAAGAGGGTTTGGGGAGTGTCTGAGGTTCATGGAAGCCTGACTGCGTCCTACATCGGATATGCCTACTGTGATCTGCAGTCACATTATGGAATTGTAAGGAATCTAGACCCTCCCAGTCCAATACAGGAGCCACCAGCCACTTAGGACTATTTAAATTCAAGTTCATTAAAATTAAATAAAATTTTAAAGTTCACTTCTCCAGACCGTGTTTGATTTAAGTCATTTCTGTCCCTGTTCATCCCTACAGATTGCATGTTGATTGTTTTTGAAACTCTTCCATGAGACCTTGTAAGATGTGTCATCCTAGGGCACTTTTTATTTTGCAGCTAGATGCTAAAAATAGCAAATAATGGTTATTCTAAGGCAGCCTCCTTTGCTGAGGTTTTGCCAGGTTCAGTGACAATAGACATCTTGGAGAGTCAAGTTAGTGGCTGTGCTTTGCAAGTGGGGTGAACAGTTGGAAAATCAGCATCTCTGCCCCCTTGGGTAGGTAGGGGACCTCTTTCTGCTGGTAGGAAGCCACCTTCTGGGTCTTCAGAGGTAGCTGGTCTTCCTGAGAGTCTGGAGGCCTCCACTGCCCAAGGCAAGAAAGACAGGCTGGTCTGTACTTGGTGAAAAAAACTGTCGGTTACTTCAGTGAGTATTTGCAAAATGCTTAAGAAACATTTGACATGTTTTATACAGCAGATTTGTGTTGAGGTAAAAAAAAGATGCATTCTGTCAGAGAAATCAGACAAATAACATCACAGACAGCGAAGAGGGTTCCTTTTAAGAAGAATGAAGCGTGATGTTCTGTACTCTTTTTAAAAAGGAGAGAAGAAAAAATAAGAGCCATTGGATTAGGTTGTGTGGATATTGTCCTAGCGGATGAGTCACTCGCCGGTTTGTTTCATATTATAGCAGCTCCACAGAGTTTGTGATTATAGTTGTGAATCCCTGGAAGTTTGCTCTGTGCGCAGGCAGGCTGTGCTCTTGTTACTCCCAAGCCTCTATCAGCTGTTGCATGTGCCTTTCCTTGCTTCCTAGACCAAATTCTGCAAAGAAGTAAGTATCCTTCATGGCAAGATGAAAAACCCCACTGCCCAGTTACAAGGAGGGGAAGTTCCCTAAAGAAAAAATGACTTGGAGAGCAGAAGCTGGAAGAAACAAATTTTAGGGCAGTTTAGCGTTGTATTCAAAAGACTTTTTGTTATTTTTTATCCCACTTGTTTTGATAGCACCAGCATGAGACACTCCTGGGAGAGAGTAAGCTTTGTGCCGCCGTAACTCCTTTGCTGTCTGTCTGTTCACTTAGAGCCCGCCAGCTTCCATGGGATATGAGCATTTTCTATTTTGAAACTTCTGTGCATTGCATGGGGCCTTGGGGATCCCCATCTTCAGCTGCATCAACAGTGTGGGAATTCCCTTGGCCCCATCATCCAGTCCTCCATGGCCTGAAAACCCCACCAGTGACAGTGTGGCAGCGCACTGTGTGGTTGGACATCCCAGGTGCCCAGTATTCTTCCCAAACTGTGCTGGAAGCCTCCTCGATGCTGACCCAGCATGAAGATTCCTGCCTCGAGCTCTTAGAACGACCCAAGTGGTGACTGTTTCCACTTGTCCCTGACAACCCGGCTGCTGCTCTTTAAATTACTCCCAATTCCTTTAGCTGCTTTCCATCCTTCGTCCCCTGAGTGCCCATCTGCCCTCAACTGGAGGGTGGCACCAGATCTGAATGTGATGAGATGTTCTGCATGCCACCCGAGTGTCTCCCTCGGAGGACTCCAGCCAGGGACAGGGTCATTAAGAGCATGAGTTTGTTTTCCCTGCACCTTGCCTGGCCTTCACTCGGGTCAGCCCACTTGCATGTGGATGTCTCACAAATACCAGAATTCTACCATGGCCCAGTCTCACCTCCTCATCCTCACGTCCAACCCTGGCTGCTCCTAGGTCCGTCGTTTCAGTGCTGCCTGGTTGCACTTGTTGGAAACCGCAGTCATCCTTTACTCCTCTCTTCCTTTCACTGTCTTCATCCAGTTTCTCAGCTTGCTGATTCTGCCTCCCCAGTGTCTCTGGTGTTTGACCCCTCCACCACCTCCACTGCGCTGCCCCCACTTAGCCACCATCATCTTTCACAGGGACTGTTCCAGAGTGTCCTGTCTTCCTGTCTTCATCCCTCTTCCTTCCAAACCATCCTTAACAAGAATAGCAGACTTATCTTTCTGGAATGCACACACGCATGTCGTTCCCTGCTCAGATACCTTTTCTCTGCTTCTTCAGTGTTTCATGCCTATACCTGTGCTGCCACTACTTTGTTTCTTGTTGTTATTAGTGTTTTGCCAGGACACCTTCTCCTTCTCCCTTGACTACCTGTTCAAACTCCCATTAGTTCGTCTTTCAAACTCAAGTGCCATGTGCTCTGTGAAGTCTCTCCTGGCCTCCTACTGCCCCCCAGACATCTGAGCATCTCCGTTATAGCATGATAATAGTATTATTATTATTTGATAACTTTTATAACTTCTCTTATTTGAGACAGTGAACTCTTTGAGGGCAGGAATAATGCCCTATTCATCTTTCTCTCCCCAAAACCTGACATGGTTACCTGGCACTTATAAATACTGTGACTGTTCGGATGGATGGATGGACAGACGGATGAATGGACAAACGGACGGATGGACAGACAAATGGTTAGATGAAACAGGATGGGGCCCTTAGATACAAACAAGCTGCCGAGTTTCCACATGGGTTGCCCCCTGTGCTTTGTCCATATCAGGTATCCGTATCATATTCGCAACATCATACAATATCTAGCTGCACTCCAAGAACCCGGATTTACCTCGATGACTTTTGCTAACCGTCATCTGTGACCTGAGCCATGTGGTAGATGCTGCTGAAGGGCACATGTCAATGAGAAATTCTCATCAGGGAATTCGAGCATGAATTAACTGAGGTTTAGCAAGTGCTATCTTGCCATCAAGGTATCTGATATCCAAACGGGCAACCTACAGGACCGGTTCATAATCCATTATTCCATCAGTATTCCATCAGTAAGGAGACAGCTTAGCAACATGCTTGAACTGTAGCCCCTCCTTGGCGTTTGTAACAGACTGAAGTGACAATTTCACATGAAGACTGTCTCCCTATCATAAAAACCCGTACTTGAAGACAGTATTCTTTGTGTTACTCAAGGACGTTTATGTAAGGACACACGTGAAAAATTTCTACAGTAATCTTATTCAGAAGAAACTATGCACTCTGGTCAAACTGGTCTGCTTTCTCCCAGCCCCTTGCTGCTCCGGTTACAGCCACGGACCAGCAACATCAGCATCCCCTGAGGACTTGTTGGAAATGCAAAGTATCAGGCCCCTCACAGGCCTGTCAAATTGAGTTGCATTTTAACAAGATCCCAAGTGATTCGTGTGCACAGTACAGTCTCAGGAGCTCTGATCTTGGAGATGCTGAGAACACTTTAACCCAACTTGTCTTTTCACCTGAGCTCCCAGACTCCTGAGTAAATTTTTTGCTCTTTTAGAGTAACTCAGCTAATTCCAGGTACCTGTCAAGACATTTTTTTCTTCATTCAAAATTTTAATTTAGCACTCACTGTGTACCTGGCCCTGTGTTCAGTGCACTAGACGCAAGAGAGAAACGTTACTCAACACAGGACCCTATTCTGTCACACAGCAATTCCCTCCTTGCCAGTCACCCAGATAGAGCTGTGCAGCACTCCTCGGGGTGGGGTGGGGGTGGGAGTGTCTTTGTAATTTTCTAGGTTTTAGGAGAACATCATGTGGGAATCTTTCTTTCATGGGTAGTCCTGCCATTTTTAATTTCTTTAACATTCTTGCTCACCAGGGAAATGAATTCTCTCATGGCTTTTGTTTCTGACACCTATTGCATTTACAGTTCTGAAGCATCTGTTTTCTGAGGCTGAATACGTGTTTGCCTGACAGCCCGTCTGTCTCTGCCTCTTTTTCCCCTGGGGCCAGGGTGTGGACAGTCCCACTTGGCTGCTCTGGCTCCCTGATGACAGTGACAACCCTCCTCTTGCATCAGGGACAGACCTCTCACCTCAGCTCCCTCCTCCCCTGTCACTCTCCCACACTGGCTTTTTGCTTCCTCATCCTACCCCTTTTCTTCACTCCTTTTGCAGTCACCCCATGGAACCCCGATTCCACAGGGCAGCTCCCCTGACCTCCTCCCCCTCCTCTGCTGGGCTGAGGAGCACCTTGTATCCTGCACTAGCAAAGGAGGGAGCCTGACCTCCCAGTGCTGTGTCTAGCTGCCACCTTCTCATTGCTTCTTGTCATTTGATGTCCTCCTTGCCTGTCTGTCCATCCTCCATGCCAAGCAGAATGTCACCTTGACCTACAGGGAACCTCTGTGCACAGTTGATCAGGCAAAATAATCAGCCATTTGTAAATTACTATCTAAAAATAATCTCTCCAGTCCAACTTAGAAAATAGATTGGGGCGTAGAATGACTGAATATAGTAGCAGCAGTAGTAGTAGTAGTAGTAGTAGTGGTATTTAATACTGTGGGCTGTTTTAGATAGACCATTGAGTTTTATACCAAAACATAAAAATACTTTAAAATCTCATATGATGAAGTCCAGAAATTTAAAAATTAAGCAAACATAATGAATATAATTTTATTGAAATTGGTCTGTTCTCTTCTGTCTTTACCTAGCTTTTCTGTTTTTTGATTACAAGTCCTTCACCCTTTCCGTTGCTGTCGCCACCCTCCAGACCCTTACAAACGTTTGAAGTGTGGATGCACTATTTGCAGCTTCTTCATATTAAAGGTTCACGTCCAGCCCTAGACCTGGAAATACCATTTCGCTTTAGCTTGTTTAGCAACTGCCAAGCAGTTGCCCTTTCTGCCACCAGGTGGCGCCCTTGTAAACAGTAACACTTAAAGTTGCCCTACTTGGGGGGAATTTTTTTTGGCTTCCTATTAAGTAAATTAAAGTCTCATTCATTTTCATTCTCAAAACTTACCACTAGTATACGACTTCCATTCCAAAATATCCTCTCTCTGAAATGCCTCCCCATCCCTAATACCCTTCCTTCAACCAGCAACTTGAAGCCCATAAAGCCAAACTCTTCTCTTGCCTATAGCTGTGCTTCTACATTGGTCAGTTTATTAGAATAAGTTGAGATTGTGAATCATTCTGTGTGGATATGATACAGGCTTTATATTTAAAGTAAACGAATTTGTACTTTCTAGGAAACAGAGAAGCACACCATTTTAATGAAAAATCCATGGATAAGGGCTTGAAAGAAAGGTTTGGTAAGAGGTGGTGGCAACTGTCTCCCTGTTTCTTTCACTGAGTGTCTTTGTGTACTCCCTTCTCCTATCACTTCACCTCATACGAGGTTAGACTGGCAGGGTCTGCAGTGTGGGGAGAACCCCATATCTGTAGGCTTTTCAAAGCATCTGTGCAAGGTCTATGACTCAGGAAGGGGCTGGTGTGGGTGATGCAGAGACATTGAGCATCCTGTCCTATACAAGGACTGCAGGAATGGTTGATCCCCGTGGCCCTGTGAGGTTAGAGATGAGGTCTTAAGAGCAGACTCGCATGGCCAGGAGAAGAGAGAAGTGCTCAGGACCCACATCCATCAGACGTCTGTCTACAAAGTGAGAGGAAAGGTGTGTGACCTTGGGCAAGTTACCTAGCCTCTCTGGACCTCAGTTTCTTCATCTGTGGAATGAGAGTTGAATCAGATGACCATAGAGGTCTGTTCGGTTCTAATCATCTGGAATTCTCTAAGACAGTGCTGTCTAACAGAACTTCCTGCAAAAATGGAAATGTTCTGTAACCACACTGTCCAGTTCTGGAGCCACTAGCCATGTGTGGAATGTGGCTGGTACAACTAAGGAAATGACTTTCTCATCTTAATTTATTTAAACTAGTGGCTACCATATTGGACAGTACAACTCTAAGATACAGAAGGCCCTATATCAGATAGAGAAAAAGAAAACATATCTCGGTGCAGGCAATTAATGCAAACTAGGAATAGTAGAAATTATCCTGAATATGTAACAGTCATATTATTTCCTTTGGGTAGCCAGGAGTCTTGTGCAGCAGAGCTATTCACAGGAATGAGACAAGATGGAAGGAAAAAAGCCTTCAGCAGGGACAGGGACATGTACAGCTGTGTGAGCTTGCCTGGCAGGATCCAGTTCAATAATTAAACCACCAGAGGAGCTGGACACATTTCCCTGTCACCCTTCTAAAGCATCTGGGAGGGGAGCTGAGGTTTCAGCTGCTTCTGGATCTGCCCTGCCCTCCAGTCCCTTTTTCCTACAACCAAATGTGATGGTATTTAGGCCAGATGAGGGCAGGAGAGGCCAGTGGACCTTGGGTGTGCCAGAGCCCTGGGTTAACCTTTGCAGCTCTGATGAGGTTCCAGGAATATGTGACCATCCTGAGATGCCAGTCCCCAACAGTCAGTAATGTTTGCTCTAATAAAATATTAATCCAGTTATTAAATATCTCCTCCTTCCCCATGATGAAGGAGTTTATCCGAGAACCATCCAGCACAAAGCCGCCTGACCCAGAAGTCATCCAGTTCTGTGTCTCCATCTTCAAATGCTCCAGGCTCCTGCTCACCAGATGGTGTCGATCAGCAGTTCTTGGAGGACTACCACAGGGTGACCAAAGGGGGCTCCACTGAGGACGCCAGCCAGTACTACTGTGACAAGGTGAGTGAGCCCAGGTCCTGCAGTGGGTGCTGCCTTGGCCAGGTGATCCACCCCCATCTTCCTGGCCCCTCGTGGACAGCTCAATATTATGACCTAAAGCAGATATCACCAGCTGCCAGAGGGAAATAATGTAAATGACCATTTTCAAATGTTTTCCAGAATGATAATGGTGATAGCTACTTAGTCTTGATCCGTATCACACCAGATGAAGATGGAAAATTTGGATTTAATCTTAAGGTATGTTGTATGTATTATAAGGGAGTTTTATGCTATGAAGCAATCTTCAGATGAATTTTTAATGTCCACTAGAAGTGTGCTGCATACATAAGCTACATAAGGAAATTGTTTCAGCCCTCGGAATTGGGAGTTTTTTATGTGGCTGTAGCAGCTGCTTCGTGCCAAGTGCCTGCTCTGTGCCTGGCGGTTGCTGTGCACTAGATTTATGTCATGGAGTTCTTATAATAGTGAAGTTAGTATTTTTAAACCCATTGCACAGACAAATACTGAGGCTCCGAGAGGTGAGGACACACAGTTGGCAAGAAGATCTACCCCTGTGAAGAGGGGTTATTGAGAGAACCCCTCAGCGTTGCTAAAGCTGATAAGAGAAAACAGGTATTCCAGTTGCAGGGCCACCCCCCTCCTCTGGGTGCCTCTGGTAGGGTCTGCAACTAAGGCCCACGGTTCAAATCCCATCTGTTTTTGTAAGTAGTTTTATTGGAACAGCCACATCCATTTGCTTGCAGGTGGGTTTATGGCTGCTTTGGCAGAGTTGAACATTTGCAACAGAGCCCTCGTTCCAATGAAACCTAAAATATTTACTCTCTTGCCATTTACAGAATAAGTTTACCAACCCCTGCTATAGAGCAGGGCGAGGTCAGGTAGTAGTTGCTGCCCACCCCCAACTGTGTCATGCACACCTTTCATAAACCTGAGGCCCCCTGAGGACCTGCTCACACAGGTCAGAAGTGTTCACAGCTTGCAACCACTTTCGAGGCCTCACTCGCCTCCACTGAAAACTCCCTTAGCACTAAGAAGCACTTAGCTCCTCAGCAGTACCTAGAAGATGCACTTGTGGAGTCCTTCTCCTGGGAGTGTTTGCATTTTTGAAAAAGAGCTTGCTTCCTCCAAGTGCATCTTCAGTTCATGGACTATGGGAATGGCTAAAGGAGGCTTCTGAACAGAGTTCTTCTGGGAGCCCACTAGATCTGGAGGGGCCAGGAATCTGTTACAAAATCTGAAAGGACAGCCACCCCTGTGATTCGAATAGGTCTAAGGGAAGTTTGAGGCCTCCGGAAGATTCATATTTATTGGTACGTGCATGTCTTTGTTGCTGTGAACTACTCAAGTGGTTTTCTACTTTAAAATGTTTACAGGGAGGAGTGGATCAAAAGATGCCTCTCGTGGTATCAAGGATAAACCCAGAGTCACCTGTAAGTAAACATGTTCTGTATTATTTCCCATGTTTTTTTTCCCCTAAATCTAATAGGTTTCTGTTTTCTGAGTCCTGGGTTTTTTTGCCAGCAGCAAAGAGCATGTAAAGACACACAAAAATGGAAAGAAAGAAAACTCACTTCCATGTTTCCTAGAACCTTGCTGCTCAATGTGGTCCCTAAAGCTGCAGCACCAGTGTCACCTGAGACCTCGTTAGAAATGCAGAATCTCTGGCCCCAGCCCAGACCTGCTGAACCAGCATCTGCATCTTTAATAAGATCCTTGGGTGATTTGTGTGCACATTAAATTTTGAGCAGTGAAGGAAGGAAAGAGAAGGAAACTGAGGCATAGAGTTTGCTGTTCTGCTGGCTTCAATTAAGAATATGGACCCTGTGGCCCTTGCCCACTGTCTTACCGCTAACCCCCCCTCCAGCCCTCTGTTTAGACCTCCTGAAGAGATCATTTGCTTTTTTTTTTCTTTTTAATTTTTTTTTTATTGTATACATTTAAGGTGTAGAACATGATGTTTCAATATACATATACACAGGGAAATGATTACTGCAAACAAATAATATATCCATTACATTCCACAGTTATCTTTTGATTATTTGCTTTTTTAAAGCAGTAGTCACTGTGCCCTTTAAGAGGGACTCATCTGGAGGATTTTACTCTTAAGGAGTAGTAGTAGTTTACCGTTTGCTACTGTTTATTGTTTCTGTGAATTAAGGCTTTCATTCCTACAATGTTCAGTTCATCGCTTCTCTCCATGGTGGTTTCTGCCTCTGGTGTTGGGCTTACAAAGGCTTTCTCCATTGCAAAACAGATAAATACTCGTTTCTTGCTGGCAGATCACTTACTAACAGTACATCCAGAAAACAAAAGATTGGGAACATTGTAGTTATTATTGTAACAAGTGAAGGTTGGCTACCATAGAAAAATGGCTCTGGTAATTTTCTTAGCATTATTCTGAAATGTTTCATAACTTACATCCTGAGCAGCACTGCTCTAAAATCCCACAACCAACTACCGCGTTCACATAGCAGTGGATATAAAAGTAATGACAATAATACCTGAGGGAAAAAAGGGGAACCCAATCATGGTCTCAGGTGTCTGGGATCAGAGCACCTCCACGTTCTTCCCCTCGAGGATTGTGTTATGGTAACGGGAGAAACTCGCTTTTCCCCTCCACCCAGGCGGACACTTGCATTCCTAAGCTGAATGAAGGGGATCAAATCGTGTTAATCAATGGCCGGGACATCTCAGAACACACCCACGACCAAGTGGTGATGTTCATCAAAGCCAGCCGGGAGTCCCACTCGAGGGAGCTGGCCCTGGTGATCAGGAGGAGAGGTAACAGCCACCTGCGGGGGGAGGAGCCATGCGACGCTGCCTTAGCCAAGCAGGGCCTTGTTGGGGGGCCAGAGCCTGACTGTCTTGGGTGATTTGAGCTCTGCTGCCTGCGGGTCGAGCAATCTTGAGCAGTTTACATACCCAGTCTGCGTTTCATCCCCTCAGATGCCAAGTGAGGATCACATAGCCCCTTTCTCCCAGGGTCATAGTGACAATTAAATGATACGCACACAGGAAAGCACCTGGAATGCTGCCTGATAGGGGTAGCTGTTTGGAAGATGGCCCTATTGAGTATTGTGACTATTACTGCTGCTCTTGCTGTTGTTATACAATAATAAGCCAAGTCCCTTGAATCCTCCTGCAAAGCCCCGGCCCTGTATCTCTGTTCTGGCCTCTCACGAATAGACACGCTCCCACCCCTGCTCTCCCGCCCCCCTCTGCTCCCACTGGAACTCCTAGTGCAGAGCTGTCCAGGGTCAGCTCTGATCCCACCTCCTCCCTGAGGCCTTTCCGGATCTCTCCAGATCCCTACCCATCCCCCTCCCACTTCCCCATCCCTGCCAAATCCTAGCACCACGCTGGGCACACAGTAGGTGCCAATAGAAATAGTAGCTTATGTGTGGCATGCCAGAGAAGTGCTTTGCACTGGGCTGATTGCTTCATGTCATCCTCTCCCTCTGTCTTGACTGTTTTAAAAGGTTAGTTTTATCATCCCCACGTGAGGAAATGGGGAAACCAAGCCACAGAGAGGTGCAGTAAGTTGTCCCACTGCCATGTGACTGGTAAAGCCACACGATAGTAGGAGCCGAGGGGATCCGGTGGTGGGGAGCAGGCCTCCGCGTCACATAGATGTGCCCTGTGGCAGACCAGGTGTCACAGGGGCCACAGGACAGTCCTCTACTGGCCTAGGGCAAGGGACTGGTGCCTGTTTGAGGTGAGGAAACCAATGTATATAGACTATGAGAACTCAAAGACAGAACCATTGGTTTTCTAGTAACTGTGATGATAATAAGTTTATTTTTTAAATAAACATGTAAGTAAAAAATATGAATTGTTTTGAAGAAAAATGATGGGTAAACAGTGTCACAGGGAATGGCAGATATGACAGAAGTCACAGAAGAAGCCCAAGAAGAGCTAAGAGAATGTGGTCTTTAGAGGACAATAGGAATGGACCGAATTCCCATGTCCCACCCCAACAGGCTAAGTCGCTTTGGGCAAATGATTTTCCTGTCTAGGAGTCTGTTTCCTCATCCATGAAATGGGGGTAACAACATTGGATTCAGAATTGTGAGGATTTGGGTCAAACTCAAACATTGTTTGTTTCCATCTCCTTTCTTTTTTTTTTTTTTTTTTTTTTTTTTTTTTTTTTTTTTTTTTTTTTTTTTTTTTTAAAA